TTTTGTAGTAGCCACCAACCACAAAATAAGTGGCCCTGCACCAAAACTGGCTTCTTTGCATACTAGCTATTGGAGACAGTACGTCTCAAGCCTGGGGATATTCCTACAGCCTCCGCCCCAAGTCAGCAGATAGGCCTCTGTTTGAGGGAGGGCCCCAACAAGGAAATCTTAGGGGCGATTCAGGCAATGCCATACCCTAGAACCTCTGTCTCCCCCAGACCTCAAGGAACTACAGGTGTCTGATGGATCGCACAGCTGACTGGCCTCCGGTGATGGAAACTCCTGGGCTTCTGGGCCTGTGAGCCCTGGAATTTGAGGGTTTTCTCTTGCTGCCGCGAGGCAACCGCTGGCATCCAGGGCCCTAAACCAAACCGTTTCCAACTTGACATTCTCATCTGGCACCTCTGAGCTAGATTCCACAGGTGGGACAAGATCCAGAAAGTCCTCTCCTGAGAAGAAAATGGATCTTCTGATGAAGGGCCAGACCCTGAGCTTTTAACCATCTTCACTAACAGGTGTTTGCCCTAATGAACTGCTGGTGTGAGGAAGGTCTCACCTGTCAAATAAGCCAGCTGGCGAGAATCCGTGATGAAACAGCCCATAGGCGAGCAGGTCCTGTGCAACGCTATAGCCGGGTCATGGCCCATAGCCGTGGACACCCTGTGCAATGGGCTGAACTCATGGGACTTCTAGCCAGAGTGCATCTCCCCGAGATCCAGTGCACAACATCCGTATGCTGGCTCCTGGGCTGTCACTGACGGCTTAGCTGTACGTTCGGGTGTTTGGGCCACCCCGGCCTGGACTAGTGACGACATAATCCAGTGAGTGCGCCGCCCCCACCCCCCGTAATTCCAGGCACAATGTTTGTGTCATACCCATGGTTACGTGAAGCAACCACATCTAGAGAGAGGTACTGAGATGAACACATGGGAGGCGAGGGAGGTGTTAAAACACGATGAAGTAAAAACTGCTAGGCCGTGACAGTGCTCTAGACAGGAAGAACTGACGGGCGTTACTTCTAAGGTCTTAGTATGGGTTCAAGAGATGAGGAGTACAGATTATCGTTGTTTGTAGAACGTCAGATATGCGTGCTACAAGTGTGAGGAGCATCACTGAAGAATTTTAGCTAACAAACGCGGCAGGAGTGACAGCCACCACTTTGCAACTTCTGATAACAGATGTAGAGAAAGGTCAAGGGATGGAAACTTTGAACTAATAAAGTTGATGGGATTGATGTCAGCCCCCCAACCACGAAGGGTACAGCGAGTGCAGGCTTGATTGAGAGCCTGGTGAAGTCCACACCATCACCCACAAGAAAACCTTGACAAAAGGAAAAGACTAATCTGATTTTAAGCAAGCCTTTAAAGTGATCTTTTAGTTTAGAGGAAACATGGGGAAGGGAGAGGAACAGGTTAAAGGACAGAAGGACAGAAGGACAGGGATGCCTGGGTGGCTCAGTTGGTTAAGCAACTGCCTTCAGCTCAGGTCATGATCTCAGGGTCCCAGGATCAAGCCCCATGGGGAGTCTGCTTCTCCCTCTTCCTTTTCCCCTCCCCCACTCATGCTCTCCCTCATTCTCTCTCACTCTCTCAAATAAATAAAATACTTTAAAAAATGCCACAAGGACACAAATAAATCCAGGATGTCAGACATCCTACAAGAAGCCACAAATTCTCAGAAGTAACAAGAGATGCCAGCAACAGTGCTGGATTCAAGATTGGTAACAATCTATCACAATCCCACTCCACTATTCTTTTTTTTTTTTTTTTTAAGATTTTATTTATTTGACACAGAGAGAGATCACAAGCAGAGAGAGAGAGAGAGAGGAGGAAGCAGGCTCCCCGCCCAGCAGAGAGCCCGATGCGGGACTCGATCCCAGAACCCTGAGATCAGGACCTGAGCTGAAGGCAGAGGCTTAACCCACTGAGCCACCCAGGCAGCCCCCCACTCCACTATTCTAACCAGAATACACAATTTTAAAAATAAAGATCCCATTCCGGAAACCTGCAGAAATAAAGTACCTAGGATAAATCTGAAAGAGAAAGTGGGGGGGGGGGGGAAGCAGGCTCCCTGCAGAGCAGAGAGCCCGATGCGGGGCTCAATCCCAGGACCCTGAGATCATGACCTGAGCCGAAGGCAGAGGCTTAAACCACTGAGCCACCCAGGCGCCCCTAAAATGCAAATCTTTAAACATCTTAGAAAGCAGAGAACATCTCTCACCTTGAGGTAACAAGAATCAATAAGCAAAGACACAAAGTTAAAATATATAGACTTTGAGAAGATTTATTTCCAAGGCTTATTACTAACAAAGGATAACATCCATAACATGTCAAGAGTTCTCAAATAAGTTAAAAAAAAAAAAAAACCAAAAACAAAACCCAAAAACGACTTCAATGTGAAAGAAAGGCAAAGGATATGAACGAATAACTCTTTGATGTGGGGAAGCCTAAAAGGTCAACAACCAAATGAGAAGATGATCAGGCTCACCAGTAGAAAGGAGAGTATACAATCAAATGAGAGATCACCTGTTCAGCCAAACTAAAACTAGTGCAAGACAAGAATAAGTAAACAAGCACCCCTGTACGCTGCTGAGAAGTCTCCACTTTGGAGACCATTTGGAACTATTTCGCCATGTGGGAATTGCACCCACCCTGTGACCTAACAGTTTTATTTCTAAGTACACGCTCTATATATACTCTTGCACACATGCGTGAGATGTTCCAATATGTTCACTGCAATACTGGTTGAAACGGTCAAAAATAAACCACATTAAAAGCCTTCTATCCACAGAGGAGAGGTAAGTAAATTGTGGCATATCTGTTCAATGGAATACCAAGTAGTAGTTGAAGTGAATGAGTTAGAGCTGCATGTATCAGATGAATTTCAGAATTGAAGCAAGCCATCTGTAAAAGGATAAATACAGCCTAGATACCATGTTGTACATTGCTTATGGGTACATCTCTATACAGAGCAAAGACCACAAAGCAGGAAAGACAGCCACCAAATTCAAGGTAGTGTTTGCCTTTGGAAAAGTAAAAAGAGCAAAATTTGAGGTGGTGGTACTTCACAAGTGAAACTTCATTTTCTGTTTTAAACAAGGCCCTTTCAAGAAAATCTGGTAAAAAGTTAGGCTCTAAAGCTGGGTGGTGTCTACAACAGGATATGATCTTTCGTACTTCTAGTGCTTGACGTATTTCAATAATTAACAGTAGCCAAATGCAAAGATCTCAGGAAAAGAACAGTGTTTTCCATATTTTATTAAACCAATTTTTTATGGTACCCATTACTTATACAATTATAATTTAAACATCAAAATCATTAGTTTTTCTATGTTACATTGTTTTGGGGGTAGTCAGGCCTGTGAAACTTTCTTAAATGGGAATTTTATTTCCCCTAGCTGGGGCCCAATCCTCAACCAGCTTATGACAGACACTGTTGAACCCCAGGACAGTAGCCCTTCTCCTGCTATAAAACCAATCTGTTCCAATAACAGAAGACTATATGCTCCAAAGGGTGTTCCCACGTAAGGAGAGGAATTTGGATTACTTTAGGCCATTTCTTCAGTAATGCCATTCTGCACGTAAGTGATTTAGAAAGAGGCATTTAAAGTCTTCTAGTAAAAGACAAGTAGGTGAGGTCCACTGAGGGGCTTCTGGGAAGAAGGAACTCCTTAGGAACAGAGAAATACACAATCTCTTCTCTTCGGGCCTTTAGACATAGTCGTGCAAGTGGGTGATGTCTGGACATGTTGCCTCCATCTTGCTACACCATAAATGGTTAATCCTAAGGATAAAAACTCACAGCAGAAGATGGATGGGCAGAAAAACACGGAGAGAGTCTGGGTGCTTGATAGTACCACTGAGCCACCAAACTCTGACCATCACAGAACCACCTCACCCAGGCTTCTTCTGAAAGATATTTTCCGTACTGGTTAAGACCTGTTTAAATTAAGTTTTCTGCTCCTCGCCATTGACTGCACATCGATACACATTGTTCTTTATCAAAACAAAACACAAAACTCTGAAGAATGTACAAATTCCAGTGAGTTCTCGATGACTATAAAGATCTCATTCTTCTTGTCCAGACTGGAGGCAGGAATTCTGCAAACGATACAAATAGTTGTAGCTTTACCAGAACCACCCCAGTCGTTTCACGTTCCCAGTCACTGGACAGTCTGAAAGAGAATGTGCCTATTTTGTTTTTAGCACTGTTTAGCCACATCGAGAAATGGGATGGGAGAGCCCCAATGTGCTTCTTTACAAGTATTTCAAGGTGTTCACTCCATAACATTCCTCTATGGCTCCCTAAAAACACTGTTTGAAGGTGTGTTCCATCTTGGCAACAAGAGAAGCAGCCCCTAGGTAGGAAGAGGGCTTCTTTTCTGCCTGTGCCCCATACCTGGGTGGATCCACAGTTCAGTGTCCTACACAGGGACTTACCACATTTTTGGAGACAATTCCTAGAATTCTGGAAAAAGGTTTCATCTCAGCATCAGGCTTCTTTTTTTTTTCCCTGAAAGATTTTATTTATTTATTTGAGGGAGGGGGGTAGAGAGAGAGAGAGAGAGCAAGAGCAGGGGTAGGGGGACTCAAAGGGAGAAGCAGACTCCCCGCTGAGCAGGGAGCCCGATGTGGGGCTGGATCCCAGGACTCCGGATCAGGACCTGAACTGAAGGCAGCCTCCTAACTGACTGAGCCACCCAGGCACCCTGAGCATCAGGATTCTGAAATAATGAAACAAATACAAAGTCAGACAATAAAATGGATTTATTTAAAAAGACTACAAAATTTGACATTGAGAGAGATGATAAAAAAAAGAAGACACACAGGATTTAAATCGATAAATACAAAAGCGATTGGCCATAAACAATGTAAAAATACATTTCCCAGTCCCCAAACAGAACATAATTTAAGTACAACAATTATAAAATTTTTTATACTGTATGTGCATTTCCCTTATAATTTTTAAAAACCACTCTAAACAGTTTATTTGTATAAAATATAACAAATTAAGTCTAATATGGCTGTTAATAAAAAATTATGTTAAACTTCAGTTTATTCAGTGTGCCCTGTTTTGGACATAGAAGGGGTTTTGGTCCCAAGTTCTCCTTGAAAACTTTTTATTTTCCACATTTCCACAGAGGTCTTTTTCCTCTCATTCCTTCTACGATAGAAGAGGGAGGCTATCAGTCACGGGTCCCATAACAACCACTATGAAGAAAAGTTCTAGAGTGACCAAAAATACTAGTGAATATATGATCTTTCTGAAAAGGGAAGGATTAAGTGGCAGCTATGAGGCCCACTCGTGCCCCAATCGAACAAATGGAAACAAAGCCTCAGAGCAAGCAGAGCTGAAGCTCAATGTCAACGCACTCCATGTGTGAGGCCGGCGGGGACATGTCCATCAACCTCAACTAAGTCCATGCGTGGGGGGGGGGGGGGCAGAGGTAGCCCAGACCACTTTCTGTGAAACCCAGCTGGGTCTAGACAGTATTTCAAATGAAAGTGGTACAGTTAGATGGGAAATTCCAGAACCTGCTGACCAGAAGAGGGTTGTTTTTGCACTGCTCTTCATTCTTGGAGCCCAGACCAAGGCTATTTCTCCTCTCTTGGATGGCATGCCCAGTAACGACAGCATCAGTGATCGGTTTCATTGCCTCCCAGGGAGGCAGCGGTGACTACACCATCAGCACCAGCTGGCACCCAAGCTCTGGTAAAGGGCTAAGGTCCTGAGTCAGTGAAGACAGAGTAGAGGCTGGGTCTGGCCATAATGATGAATTCTGATCACCACATTCACCACCTTGACAACACACAAATGAGAAATTTAAAAAGGGCGGGGTCACTAAATTGTCTCACTGGAAACATGATTCCACTCCTTCCAATAGAAAACCCAGGCCGGCTAGCCCAGGAGGCCGCCACTGAAGTCCTGAAGAACACCAGATGCCTGGGCTCACTGCCTGAACTCTAGCGTCCGGAGTCAAAAATCCAAGAGGAGGACAAGACAGGTTTATTCTGCAAACCACTTAGTCAGAAAGGTCTGATCTTGAGTGCCTTGTCTGGTGGTCTCTAAGACAGCCTGCCAGCAAGAGACAATTGTCCCAAATGATCAGAACCAGTTATGAAGTGTCTCTTGAGAATGGGTTGACTACTCCCTTACACCATCATCAGTATTCACTGGGGTGGGATTTGCTAGATCCTCACTTCCTTAAGAAGGGCTCCCCCAAAGAGAGGTTAGAGTAATGCCCAACGTGGGAACAAAAACCCGAAAGATCCTGCTACATATACTATGCAATTAAAAGGGCCCCAAATTGTGGACCACCTAAAGACCACCACCATCAAGCAAGAGTCGGAGCTAGAGGCTCACCTCTGTCAGATGATGAAGCAGCATATGGACCATGGGGATAAAGAGACAGAACAAGGAGAATCTCAAATAGAAGAAAAATCAAAGGCTGGGGTCTTAAAAAGAGGGACGCCTTCAAGGAAAACACTTAATGGGACCTACAGAGCTGTATTAACTTCAGTAGAAATAACCATATGCCAGTAAGGGAAGGGACCAATTTCGAACTCATAGTGTAAACTTATCTCTTTAGACAGTGGTAAGTGGTTGAAGACTGTTTTTATAATTACTTTCACTGTATGGTGCAAAAAGTGTATCTTCTTTATCTTTGGTCCTTAGCCATGAGAGTTTCTTCCATTTCTTCTACATGTTTTATAATGTTTGTTGGTTCTTTTGTGGGGGGGGGGGTTTGGTTTTGTTTTTTTTTTTTTTTTTGCTTATCACCAACCACCAAAGTGCAGTATAAACGTGGGGTTTCTGATGTTGTTGCTTTTATATATACGAAATACCAACACCTCCTATACAGTTTCTATTAGGCTATAAAAGGTCTCAGAAAGAGTTAATAATAATTATCCTAAAATGTTAAACAATATAATTTTAAGGCTGACATACAATAAAGCCTGGGTATTATATTTTTAAGGGGAAAAAAAACCCCTAGTCCAATATTTTAAATAGTGATCTCTTAAATATACATTAAATTTTATCTGATCATCAAAAAAACAAAAAACCAAAAACCAAACCTAAAAAACTCCTGGCTAAACAAATTAATTTAAAAATAAAACAATTTCTAAATTGATAAACTTAATTATGCTGGCTGTACAGTCTTAATTTAAAAGCTAGGCCTAGTTAACAATGACAGAATAAATCAGAATCAGTTGAACTATGAGATTTAAAGAAACTGTCCTCACCTCCAAAACAAAAAAGTAGAACCATTTCATGTGACAGAAGTTTTAACTGTTATTTAAAAAAAAATTTTTTTTAAACCCAAAAACACTGACCTAATTTGCGGTGACTGGCACATAGGCAAAAGTTAATAAAACTGCCTTCCTGTCCTTCCCCTTGCTCTCCGAAAGAAGTGGTTTAACAATTACACAAATTCTACATGAGCTTCGGCCAGGGTTCAGGCGGCACGCAGTCAATACCTTATTTAACACCCGGTCCCCAGAGTCCTTAAGCATTAAGGGGTTCTGTGAGGGCCCCTGCACTCCTGGCAGCCTCTGGTTTCCTCATCTGGGACTCCTGTCGTCTCTCGAAGAACATAATGACAAAGTCAGACAGGAACATAATACTTGCTAGAAATCCAAACACCTGAGGTGAAGAAAGAGCAAGGATTTATGTGACAGATTTTGGAATATAATCTCCCATTTCCTACTTGGCCCTGGGAGTGTTTTATACAAGCGAGACAATTCACCAATTTTATCCACATTCTTTACTTTTTAAGATTTGAGAGAGAGAGCGTGCGCAGAGAGAGACCGAGAACGTGCGTGCACAGCGAAGAGAGCACTTGAGTGAGCGAGCACAAGGCGGGGGCAGGGAGGGAGAGAGAGCACTAGTAGGGGGAGGGTCAGAGGGAGAAGGAGAAGCAGACTCCCTGCTAAGCAGGAAGCCTGACAGAGGACTCAATTCCAGGACCCCCGGATCATGACCTGAGCCAAAGGCAGATGTCTAACCAATTGAGCCACCCAGGCATCCCTATCTTATACACATTATTCTTAATCCTAGTAATAAAGGACTTTTTAAGGGCATCAAAAAGATGTTATAAAAAGAAATTCTAGAATAATGGCTATTAGTTGAAGTTTTGCAAAATAGAGATGTCCTGTCTTATGTGTGCATGTGTATGTGTGGGGTGTCAACCTGTGATACTAAGTTTAACAGAGGAAAAACAAAATCCTATAAAATGATACAAAACACAAGATTATTAGCCATGGTCAGCCTGACCCCAGAGGAGGGAAGGGAACTATGTGAGTAGGGAGCTGAGCATAGGTGAAAATGGCAAGAAGTAATCACTATCCAATGACTCATCAACAGAAACTCTATTTTCAAGATACGTCTAGGTTACATTACCTAAAAACCATTTTCCAGTTAACTGTCACACTGTAACGACACAGCAACATGACACCATGACCTACTCCAACTTCCTTAAATAACTTCCTCATTGTACTCTTCTAACATATGATCAAACATTCTGAGAGTTCTGTCAAGAAGGGATCTACACTAGCAAAACTCTTAAAGAAATGGGGCAAAGAACTTTTCCGTAAAAAGGAAAAATGGATGCAGGTGATGGCTAAAGTCCCTTCCACCTCTAACACCCCATCTCTCCATGATTTTTATTATATTATTGTTTTTTGTTTTTATTCCTATTCCAGTTAGTTAACATACAGTGTAATATTAGTTTCAGGTGTACAACACAGTGACTCAGCACTTCCGTATGTCACGCTGTGCTCATCTCCAGTCACTCCTTCATCCCCATCACCCATTCACCCATCCCCTCACCCACCTCCCCTCTGGTAACCAGCACTTTGCTCTCGATTTTTTTTTGAAGATTTTATTTGACACAGAGAGCAGAGGGGGTTAGAGCAAGCACAAGCAGGGGGAGCAGTAGCAGAGGGAGAAGCAGGATCCCAGCTGAGCTGGGAGCCTGATGTGGAACTTGATCCCAGGACCCTGGGATCAGGACCTGAGCCGAAGGCAGACGCTTAACCGACTGAGCCACCCAGGAGCCCCTGTTCTAGATTTTTAACATTTTGCTGTCATCTGCTCCAGTTTCTTGACCCTTCACTCCCAACCCCTCTCTCCTAAAGAATATGCATTCTGACTCATGCCACTGTAAAGCAAACTCAACTCCAAATTCACTAATTCACCCAAACAGCCCCAGCACATCTGTCCAACCTACAATTAATTACCAATCCTCCATCTCCAAACCCAAGTCACTTCTCCCCTCTGGAGTCTTCATTTTGGCTTGATGGTATCTTGGTATCTATCCCCTTATTTGCCTGACAAACATATCACATGCTTTAAGGACAGACCAGATATCACCGTGTCTGTGAAGCCATCCCTGATCCCCTTGAGAGCTTCGGGCCATGCAGGACATCCAGACAAATGATCGTCCAGATCTTTTGCTCACATACTTCAATTTCTTTTTTTTAAATGGCTTCCCTCACTCATTTTAGTCTGCAAATTTTTTCATAATTTAAACAGTTGCAAAAGGTAATTTCCAGCATATTATACTGAGTTTTTAAACTACCATTAACTCTTAAATATATCCAATGAAATCGAAATACTGTGATAATCTAACACATCACCTAATTGTAACACACAAATAAGCTGTTTTAATAGCTCAGAATTTCATGCCATGCTCTCTTTCCCCCTTCAACTCAATTTTCCTCAACTCTGTTTCATTTCTTCCAAGGATTTTATTGTATTTTTTGAAGATTTATTTATTTTAGGGATGCCTGGGTGGCTCAAGTTGGTTAAGCTGCTGCCTTCAGCTCAGGTCATTATCCCAGGGTCCTGGGATCGAGTCCCACCTTGGGCTCCTTGCTCAGCAGGGAGTCTGCTTCTCCCTCTGCCTGCTTGTGCTCACTCTCTCTCTCTCTGACAAAAAAAAAAAAAAAGATTTTTAAATTTTATTTATTTTAGAGAGAGAGGGAGAGAGAGAGGGAGCAAGCTGGGGAAGGAGCAGAGGGAGAGAATCTCAAGCAGACTCCCCACTGAGCTCGGAGCCCAAGGCAAGGGCTCAATCTTACAACCTTGAGCCAAAACCAAGAGTCAACTACTCATCTGACTGAGCCAACCAGGGGCACCCCCTCCAAGGATTTTCTAGTAATACATATCCACACTGCAAAACATTTTACTGATCACTCTTACCATACTCCTCCACAATAAAAATATGTATATAAACTGCAATTAACCATAACGGTCTATTAAAACTGATTTTCTCTTCATGTACCCATTGGTTCACGTGCCCATGCAGAAATACTACTTGTGGCTGGAATGAGTCAAAGTTCAGCATTAATTTGTTTTTTTTACACTTGCTTTACATGTGTGCTTTGTAAACAGCACTCCTGTGAACAGGTAGATAGAACCATGCAAGGCCCTGAACTCCTACGGAGTTGTTCTGTAATTAAAAATAGTTTTAATGATCTATTTAGCTGCCAAGTCAATTAATTATAACTTCACTTTTGCCATGAGACGAGGATTAACTGGAACCCAGCTGACTTATGAGAGGATTTGTTCCACAGCTATCAGTTACTCACGTTCATAAGACCAGCACCAATTCGGGTGCGCGAGCCCTGATTTGTCATTCTCAAATCCAAAAACCCACAAAAGTGAAGTTTTCATAATTTACTGGGCTCAAAAGTGGCATGAGGTAAAACTACTTAGAGTCTTTATCCTTTTTACTGTGAATATTCATGCTTCAGAAATACTAATATGTTGGATTACAGGGTGCTGCCCCAAGTCCTCTGAAGGTCTGAAGGTGTCATATAATATATGCAGGATTACCTTTTGAAAAACCAGAATATACTGAACTCTTAAAAAAAAAAAAAAAAAAATTGCCCCTCCCCCAAGGCTTCCAGATAAAGACATTTATTTATCTATCTTTTATTATAAAGACTCAACCTTTGGATCATTTCTCTCATGTATTCTCTACACCTTGAACAGGGCATGGCATGTAGGTGTATTTTTTCTGGACTGCAAAGTAGAAAAATATAGGATAACGAAGTCAATTCTACCACTTCCATTAGCAGTGACATGTTCATAAGTGGAGTAAATGGGTTTTTATTCTAGATTCTAAAGATGGGTTCTAGATTGCTAGGGCTATCGTATTTATTTGCACTTAGGTCCTCTATTTAAAATTACGCTAAAAAGTAAGTTACAAGACAAACTACTCTCCCATATTGTATCACTTGGCAAGAACTTTCCAAGTTCCATATTTCTAAGGAAACAAAACTAAGCAAGGATTCGAAATATGAGATACTCACGGTTGCAGCGATCTCAGCTTTGGTCCTATCATGTGTGGAAATGAAAATGATGGATGCCAACAAAAACACAAATCCCGTTCCCGCAGTAAGATAAAAATCCTGTAACGTGCATAAAGAACACAGTTAGGTTGACAGAAACAAATTCTTTTGTTTTTTATTTTTAAAAAACTTCAGCAACACAGTATTTTCTGTGTCTATTTTCATATAGCCCAAACCTACATACTTCAGCTTCTAACTTTTCCATCAGTCTGGCATTCACTAACACCACCCACCAACCCCGGCCATAAAGGAACATTATCCACACTTTGGACATGGCGTATTCAAAGTACATCACAAGATAATCTTTTGTTTATTTTTATTTTTATTTTTTTTAAGATTTTATTTGTTTATTTGACAGAGAGACAGAGATCACAAGTAGGCAGAGAGGCAGGCAGAGAAAGAGAGGGGGAAGCAGGCTCCCTGCTGAGCAGAGAGCCCGATGCGGGACTCGATCCCAGGACCCTGAGATCATGACCTGAGCCGAAGGCAGAGGCTTAATCCACTGAGCCACCCAGGTGCCCCACAAGATAATCTTTTAATAAGAGCAGTTCCCCCAAAAGGTCATGTGTGTGTGTGTGTGTGTTTTTCTCAAGGACATACTGATATTATCAAAGCCAAAGGTTTATTAAATCCATCTTACTTCCAGCAAAAAAACCCAAAAGGCAGAAACAAAAAATTTTTCTTCCCTTTCAAAGTCCAGATGGTCCCTGACTTAAAATGGTTCCACTTAGGATTTTTAACTTTAAATGATGTAATTACACGTTCAGGAGAAACTGTGCTCCAAACTGTGAATCTTGATGCTGTCTCAAGCTAACATGGTATGGGACGATCCCCCATCGTGATGCTACACGGCGGCGGTGGCTCCTGGCCACCCACCAGTCACAAGGGTAAACAACAGGTACGCTGACAACTCTTCCGTACCCACACGGCTGGCCATGCTGTTGGTCATTTTCAGTATAGTACCCAATTACATGAGTCCATACTTTAATATCAAACAGCCTTTGTGGTCAATGATTTTGCCCAACTGGATACTAATGTAAGTGTTCTGAGCACACTGAGGGTAGGTTAGGCTAAGCTATAATGTTCAGGGGGCTAAGTGCATTAAATGCACTTTGACTCATTTTTCAACTTACGACAGGTTTATTGGGATATAACCCCACTGTAAGTTGGGAAAATCTGTATTCTATGTTAGGAAGGCCTCTCTGAGGGTACTTTAGTGCCTGCAAAGCACTCTAGAAAAAAGAATCAGAAGAACCACCTGTCATTAACTACATAAAATTATGCCAATAGTATGTTTTCTAGACACTTAAGCTTTCTGCAGTAACATATTGCTTTCAATTGTTCCAAGTGAGTGACCCAAAATGAGCTTGTAAGTTGAGTTCATCTACTCTATCAAAGCTTCCTTATCTCCTCATAATGCAGCTCATGACATGAAATTCTCCTTGGGTTTCCAAGGGTTTTCTCAGGTATAATCTTATAAGTCTCCTCTCAGATGCCAACTGAAACCAGTGCTTGACATGCACACTTGACTCAGGAGAAACTGGTAAAATGATGGCCATTCCAAAGGGTTTTAAGTCTGATACTTTCGGAGTTTTCTGAGGTGCAGTCTCCTAAATCTAATATCAATAAGGCATCCAATACAGAATTCCTATATGTCAACTGTGCATTTAAGATTAAAAAAAAAATTGAGATTTTCTCTTTGCTTCTTAAAAGAGGTGGTTTTTCTGCACTACTCTGTTTTTCCTATTTCTTTGAATATTATTTCAAATCTGTGACATACAAATAAAACTACATTTACTGATATCTGGAGAATATCTGGAGATATTCAAGGAGGCATTAAACAAGACAACCATTCTGAGGCAGAAGAACATGGTGTTAGGGCGCCTAGATGGCTCAGTGGGTTAAAGCCTCTGCCTTCGGCTCAGGTCATAATCCCAGGGTCCTGGGATTGAGCCCCGCGATCCCGCTGAGAGGGCCCTGGCTCTCTGCTCAGTGGGGAGCCTGCGTCCACCTCTCTCTCTCTCTCTGCCTGCCTCTCTGCCTACTTGTGATCTCTGCCTGTCAAATAAATAAATAAAACTCTTAAAAAAAAAAAAAAAAAGAAGAACGTGGTGTTGAAGAAACATGGATTCTAGAATCAGACTATCCGAGTTCAAATACCAGTTATGCTACTTCTTGGCTCTATGCCTTTGAATTCATTATTTAACATCTGTGTGCCTTAGTTTCTTCATCTGCAAAGTGGGAGTAATAACAGTTCTTCTTCAGAGGTGATTCTAAAGATTAATCAGTAGAAAAGGCTTAGATCAGTGCCAGGCACACAATAAATGTCCTGTTAGTGTTGGGTGTTGTTACTCTTAACAGAACCTGAGTCTCAACAGCATGGAATAGAAAAGATCCCACCCTTCAGATCTCCCCTTATCTTCCCCCACCCCCCAGACACTACCACCACCACCACATTCTCAAAACATTTTCTAAAAACTTCTCTGATATTAGAAAGTATTTAGGTACATTAACAGAGCGAGAGTAAAAGTGATTTTTAAACGTTTTAAACAAACATGAAATCCTTATAATGTTAGGTGAAAAGTACAACATATAGGGCTATGTCTCTTAATCACCTATGAACAGACAAAAAAGACCCAAAAGAGATATAGTAAAATATTTACAAAAGCTGTTTTAGAATGAAACAACTGATTTATTTTCCCCTCTAACATTTTAATATCAGTACTTACTCTAAAATGACTTTTTAAAAAATAACTTTCAAATGCTTCTTTGATATAATAAATGCTTCACATTGTTTAGTTAGACCATTAAACTGGAAAATATTTTAATCTTGTTTCTTATCAAAAAGATAAAAAATGTTGTATCAATGTACTCAAGGGTATACAGAAAAAAGTACATCTTTTAGGTTTATATTAATATATGACCCAATGCTTACTTCCCATTAGTTTAAAAAATTAATAGAATCTTACTGGTTTGTATTGCTCTGTTATCCCTTGTTCTTAACAGTTAAAAATTCACCCTCATTTGTATCTTTTCCCTCAGAGAGATGAATGGCAACCCTGACACGTACAATTCTTCACAAACCACTATTATTAGCTTCAGTGCTACTGAGGAAGGAAACGTCTCCATTCTTAAGTACAGTAAACATGTGAATCATCTCATGTGTCATCTCACAAATCCACACTCTACTCAAATAAAAATATGCGCCAGCAGATGGTCTTCAGAAAGTTATGCAACACTGATCCTGTGAAAATAAAATTCTTGTGTGCACTTTCATTAAAAGGGAAATTTCTGAACAATGAATTCAACAAGTGCCTTAATTCACTTACTGGTAACTTCTTTCGTAACAACAACAACAACAAAAAATCAAAACAAAATAGGTAGCATCATGTGGTGCTTTCTCTGAAAAGCTCCAGAAATACATCACATTAGCTCATCACTCTCTCTCGCGTCTCGCATAATGCCTGGTGTAGAGCAGGAACACAATGGACGACTATAGAACCCATGAGGGATGCTCCGAAATGTGAGAAATTGGAAGTGACAAAAATCCTAATCTTTAAGAAATACCTAGTGTGAATGAGACTAAACCACCAATCACTGTAAACTCCTGACCTCATCTGTCCCTCCCTTTCTGATTTTACTTTCCCCCTCTTCCACCCCCTTCTTGGCAGGAAAAATGGAGTTGCTCAGGGGCAGAGCTGGCACCATGGGGAGCGTCTTCTCATGCTACTGAGTTTTAAAAGCAACACTTGTCTGAGTAACAAAACTACACAAGATTCCAAAAGAGCCATGTTCTTCGTCAAGGGGTTCTATTTTCTTCAGGCTTACCGACTGCTTGACTTTGGGAGTATCGACTTGGTCGTAAACGGGAGTGCAGTACACAATGAGGATGAGGAGACTCAGAAGAAAGGCACTGCAGCTTATGAATTCAAAGAAGTAAAGTCCTCCACACAGTGTGCACTGTGACACGACTTCCTCGCAGATAAAGGCCAGCAGGGACAGCAACTACAAAAGAAGCAAAGTGGTTTACTCAAGTGTTCTCCACAGAAACCGGTATTCAGAAAACTCATTTGTTCACTCAACTCTGTGAAGTGGAGACTGTAGCAAATGAGATTACTGGCTGGACCTGATCCCCACAGAACCTCACAGTACAGCTGCCTTGAAGGGAATCCAGGGACTCGAATAATTAACTACCAAGTGCTAAAAGCTAGACTTGGGGGAAATACAGGGTGTTGCTGTAAAAGCACACAGGAGGGACCCTCCGCCTGCGGGTCAGAAAGGCCTCCTGAAGGAAAGCAGAGACTTGATGGGACAGGAGGGTCAGTTTCGGGGGTGGAGGGGGGAGGCGGGCGGGGCGGTGAAGGACAGGGAAGGAAGCTCCAGGCAGAGAAGGAGCAGAGGCAAACCTGGTGGCTAGAGGTCTGGCACCCTCCCACCCCAAGGCACGCACAGATCCCACCACCTCCACTGAATGGACAGAACGAGTTCAGTCAACATGGTTCAGGTACCCAGCATGAAGGAAGGGGATGGCAGCACAAAAACGTTGAGATGAGGGCACCTGGGTGGCCCAATGGATTAAGCCTCTGCCTCCGGCTCAGGTCATGATCCCAGGGTCCCGGGATCAAGCCCCGCATCTGCATCGGGCTCTCTGCTCAGCAGGGAGCCTGTTTCCTCCTCTCTCTGCCTACCTCTCTGCCTACTTGTGATCTCTCTGTCAAATAAATAAAATCTTAAAAAAAAGAAAACCCAAAAATCGATGAGACGAGACTAGAGGCATAAGCAGAAGCTAGGTCTAAATGTCCTCAATTTCTAGTTTTTAAAAGTCTGGATTCTAGGAGTTTAAAAGTAAAGGTGACATGTTCAGGCTTATGCGTTCAGTGGTTTTCACTGGCTACGGCATGGAGAAGGGGCTGGGGAAGGGCCAATCTTGGGGCAGATGTCCAATAGGGAAGCTGATGGAAGAAACCAGGGGAAGACAGTGAGCTGGGTAGTGATAATGGAGAACAGCTCCTGCAATCACTGGGAGAGGCAAGAGGTGGCAGAAGCCCTTATCAGGACGGGTACAAATAAGGGAGGAAAAAAGATAACAGACTTGAACACTTTAACTTAAAGCAAAAAGGCATTTTATTCACCAATATTTTTAAACAGGGCTTTTCTCAGACTTTGAGCCTACTGACTGGAATTCCACATCATGTTTTCTGCATTAACCACTTTCATCATCTATTATTACCACTTGCAGACTAATGCTTAGTTGAAGTGGGGCAAGACCTGGACACTTCAGAAGCAGAGTGCAGAATCCTTCTAGATCTGGACTAATTCTACTAGCCCTTTACGGTTATCTCACTCTTACTTAATTCCACAGAAAATACTTTAGTAATTTATTTTTTCGGACTTTCCAAAGCATTCAATTTAGTTTTCACAAAAACAATTCCTTTTCCCACTCAATTTCAGTCTGTGTAATATTTAATTAAATGTTTGACCATAAAAGTATAGTTGGTAGTGGGAATAACCCAAGTCAACTAATGGCAGAGGCAAGAGTGCTCAAGACATGCGTGGGTCAGAAAGCCATGCACTGAATGGACAATGGTACTGAATGGACAATGGTAAAGTCCAGCAAATCTGGCAACTCAATTAAATGCAAGTGGGATTTAATAGCACTCCCACGGTTGTATATAAGGTATTAATATACTGAGGACTTACTGCAGAAAAAAAGAGTCAGGGTTTTTTTTGCCCCCCCACCCTTTTTTTTAGAGGCAAGCATGCTGGGAAGAGAATATATTCTGTTTTAAAGGTGACATGTGTGAGGGGTTTGTGAAAGAGTTAAAGGAGGTGTCTAGGAGGCAAAAGAATATAAGGTCTGTGGCTCAGGGGAGCGGTCTAGGGTGGAGATGAAGACATGGGCATCAGCCAGTGAGATCACCCAGAATGAGGAAAGCCAACTTTATCCAGAACTCTGAGCTAGCCCAAGATTCAAGGGATGTGCAGAGGGGGTAACACCAGCAAAGGACAATTAGGAGCAGAAGTCCAAAGAGGTAGCAGACCAAGGAGAAAGTATTTTTACAAAGAGAAAGTAAGCACGGGTAATGAATGGTACTTAAAAGTCAGGTAAGGGGGCGCCTGGGTGGCTCAGTGGGTTAAAGCCTCTGCTTTCAGCTCAGGTCATGATCCCAGGGTCCTGGGATCGAGCCCCACATCAGGCTCTCTGCTCTGCAGGGAGCCTGCTTCCCCCTCTCTCTCTGCCTGCCTCTCTGCCTACTTGTGATCTCTGTCAAATAAATAAATAAAATCTTAAAAAAAAAAAAGTCAGGTAAGAACAACACTGAAACACTGACATCAGAGAGCTACAAGAAGGCTGCTGGTGGCAACAGCAAGCCCATTGCAGTGTAGTCAACCAGGGAGGCTGAGATTATAGGACGCATGGTGGAAAGTGAGAGGAAGACAAAGCAGTGGGATAGAGCCAGAAGAGTCAAGAGGGATAGCGTAACATGAGTGGCCAGATAGGGGAGTAGTGGACAAGGTCAAAGGGAAGGGAATTTCAATACGGGAGAGAATTTAAATACTTGGGCAGAAACCAATAAGGTGGGTGGCTCTAAAGACAAGGAAGAAAAGAGGCTCTCTATAGATAGGATTCAGGGCCCAGATTTGGGGTTTAACTCTTCTCCAGAAATAGGAAGGAAGAGAAAGAAGAGAGGTTCACTTGGGCAGTTTGTGTGGTTTTGTGAAAGCCAAGGGAGTTTCCTTCAAGCATTTAGACCATCAAAATGACTGGTAACCTAAATCAAAGCCTATTGGGAAATGCCATTTTGCCCCTCAGACCAGTAGAAGCAACCAGATATATGAATGGCAACAAGAGTGCTACCAAAATCAGCAGATATGTTGCATATTATAAAAATGTTACCCTACAAATTATTTTCATTTTTAAAGATTTTATTTATTTATTTAGAGCATTGAGAAAGAAAGCATGAGTGGGGGAGGGGCAGTAGAAGACAGAGAGAGAGAGAGAACCTCAAGTAGACGCCCCACTGAGTGTGGAGTCTGATTCAGGGCTCAATCCCACGACCCTGAGATCATGACCTGAGCCGAAACCAAGACACAGAACACTTAACCAACTGGGCCACCCAGGCTACAAAATATTTCCATCAAACAGCAGTCAATGGTACACCACTCTGGAAAACAACTGAGTGGTTTCTTAAAAACTAAACACCCAGTTGCTGTATGACCCAGCAACTACATTCCCACATTCTGCATGTGACCAGGAAAAATGAAAATTTATGTCTGTGCAAAAACCGATACATGAAAGTTCATTACAGTTTTATTAATAATGGCTCTGGAAACTGGACACCATGCACATGTCTTTCTTTGGTTAAGCAAACCAAGATATATCCTACCATGGACTACTACTTGGCAATAAAAAGGAACAAACTTCACACATGCAACAACTTAGATGAATCTCCAAACTATGCAGTGAAAAAAATCCAAAACTCAAAAGTTACATACTATAGGATTCCATTTATTTATGTTTTTAAAGAATTGTTTATTTATTTTAGAGGGGCTGGGGGAAAGAGAGAAAGAATCCCAAGCATTCTCTATGTTTGGGGTGAAGCCCAACTCGGGGCTCAATCTCACAACCCTGAGATCATGACCTGAGCTGAAACCAAGAGTCAGTGGCTTAACTGACTGCTCCACTGAGCACCCAACCCCCGCCCCCCCACCGCCCGATTCCATTTATACAGCATTCTTGAAGTAACAAACTACAAAGCTGGAGAACTAATTAGCGGTGGCCAGGGGAGAGGGGAAAGGTGTGGCCATAACGGGGTAGAGGGAATCCTGTGGTGACTGGACAGTTCTCAACAGTTATGGTAGTGACTCTAGGAAGCTACACAGGTCACACACACATACACATGCACACAAAGTGCAGAGGGCCTCCCTGTATGTTTTGTTTTACAAGTTCCTGTGAATCTATAAATATTTCAAAATAAAAAGTTCAAAAACAATGGTCAAACCTAAATTGGTATGAAGGTCTCTAAGGGATTTTCTCCCCCCGCCAACTGGCAATACATAATTTCCTATATACACACAACTGAAAAGAATCTATACAGGGATGAAAACAGAGCCTATTATTATGATTTCCTACAAGTTAGTAAGACATAAAATAGTCCAGCGTATCCCAAATACCCATCTTCAGACAGATGTTAGGTTAGGTAAGGTGTTCCCAATTATTACACCATAGGATAAAAAGTGACACACCAAGACAAATCTCAGAAAGTTATTGTGTAAAGGTACTTCCTTAGTCTCCTGTAATTATAATTACAGGGTGAGTTTTTACATGACTCCAGTAAAATAAAATACTAAATGTCTAATATTCCATGTGTTTTATTCTTGCTTCTGTGTTAAATCTTACCCAACTTTTAGGAGTTTCTCTATGACAAATTTGCAAAATAGACCTCAGGTATATAAAAGTCAATTAATTGTGAGAAGATACCAGCCTAAAACTCTAACTGGGGTCTGAGACGAGTTGCTCCAGAGCCATTCATATCACAATAATTAGGTTATCAGGAATGCTCATCTGTGTAAGCCATATGACAATAAAATCTTTTCTGCAGAGATAGAGACTGCTTGTCTATTCTCAGTAAGAAAGGGGCAGGACCCAGCTCAGCTAGCAGCAGTCGGTGCCTTCCTTACCACTCCTGCTCCAAACTTATTAATAGGAATTAAGCCTCAGAGCAGTATTAAGAGGCAGATTTTGCCTGGACATCCTGAGAGATTAAAGGGGTACAATATCAAGTTTGGACATTTACTGGCTCCTATTCTCAGTTAAAGGCCAAGAAATCAGCACTACAAATTATATTCAGTATGAAGTTTTCTCCTGACTCCCCATCTGTCTGATATTCCAAACCTTCCTATATAATCTCCCACAGTACTCTACAGTATCTTTATGTTGTATACCTGAAACTAATACATGTCAATTCTACCTCAGTTACAAAAAATTTTTTGAAGTGCATTTT